ACCTTCTTAGCATGAAAGTTGCAAGTATAGTAACAAGTATCATAAAATGTAGCACTTGTTAATCCCGATTAGTGGAACAATTCGTCATTTTAACTGTGAAAAAAACAAAAACATTTTTATGAAATATACTTTTATACATTATATACAATATACATTTTCTCCAAAGTAACTCAGATTCTCCAAAACGAGACACAACATGCACTCACGCAGCCTTTTTGTGCATCATTACAAGGCACAAAATCCATGTCTGAAAGCACACACCAGCAGGATTACACATATAGCTGCTGTCACATGTTTCAAAACAGGAAGTGAAACAGCTTATTATCTAATAAAAAGGCTTATTAACTTATTCAGTTAATTCTTAAAAGAATATAGGCTACAGACAGCAAAGGCAGTAAGTGCAAGTGTGCCTGAGCTTCTGAGGATGTTTTTGGGCAGACTCATTTTTTCAGCAGGCAAATGGTAAAGTCTCAAATTGTAGTTGGTTTTACTCTTTGTTTACCACTAGCACTGCAGTCCCAAACTGAACAACTGTTGGGCATTTTATAAATCATGAAGCCCCTTGTGTACAGACATCTGAATTCATTCTAGTGAGTGAATTACCTGATGGATTACAACTATTATACACTCAAATCAATTTGTTTCACAGTTCTCATGACTGTACTTGCAGGGTTGGCTTGGGCATTGCATCTCACACTGCAAATACCATTTAGTGAGAATATTTCACAAATTACATAATTGACTACAGTTACATGACCACTAGAACTTGACAAAAATATTTGAGTTGTTTATATTTGATTTGTTAAGATTTGTCAAGATAAGATTTTTCACAAATCCATATTACAGAAGCAAATAAATCCTAAACTACTCAATCAATAATTACTGGTTACGTTTACTACCAAGCAACTGATGATACATGCACAGCTGTAACATAAACAAGTAATTAAAATAATGTTAAAAATGTAGGTTAGTTATGTAGACAACTTCTGTTACTGATGTAAAAACAAAACTAATGTGGGATAAACTGGAAGTTAAGAATATTGTGACAATTCCCCTTGCTGTTTAACAAGGCGTGGCCACTCCCGTTTCAGTTTCCATTGTCCAAAGTTATAGCTGGTCCGCGAGCCACGCTAACATTATTCCTCCTAATAAACAGCCAAACATTCAACTCTGTCATCACCCTACATTTTATTTGGATGAAGTTTCATTGACATTAACACAAAAAGGTGGATGGTGGAGATCGTGTCTACAATGCCCAGGATTTTTAAAAAGAAGACACATCTCAAAAACACATCTTTTTGCAATATAAATAAATGTGACATCATTACACAGGTAGTGAACCACGCTGCCTGTCACAGTTGCCTAAAATCAATAGAAACAGACAGTTTAAACTGAAGTCAGCGTTGTCCTAAAGTTGGAACGGTGTTTAGTAAATTTTGTCTATTTAGGGTGCTTCTGTACTACTATTGTTTATTTGGAGAGTTAGGATGAATCTGTAACATGACTACAATTCCTAATGTCTATGTGTTTGTATGTCTATGTCCCAGATATGGAAGATGCTTCTTGTTTTTCTTGTGTTCTTTGGAAAATCCAGGCAGAGCTCTGTACACATACTAATGAACATAAAACACTACCACAGGTAAATACATTTGGACCTGAAAACTAAACTATTAACAGGCAGAGTGAAGATGGAAAGAGAGGGGAAAAAAGAAAGATCTGAAGCCTAATAAAGTTAGATCAGATTCCAGACAGAAATACTCTCATTTATCACCAGAAAAAAATTGACTGTTAATGAATTGGAAGCTATGCCAAGATTAAGTTTCCTGCTCTCATACATTTGCAAAACATTCTCATATGCGAAAGTCTTCACATTTTTAAAACAAGTGATATCACAGCACATACATAAATTTGTGAACTGGGAGTTTGCCATTTTTAAATGAACATATACTATATTGCCTGAAATATGTTAACAACTGCATAAAATATAGCACTAAGCAGTTTAAATCTCCACAGACAAACGCAGGTAGAAAAATATGTCAAACAAAGAACAGAGGCTGGTATAGCGGCAAACGGGGACCAACTCCAACTGTCCTTCCACCGGGGTGGGAATCACAAGAGGCCTTACATCACAATATTATCAAGACTCTAGAGCCACAATACCATTCTATCGTAATTTTAAAGATCTGTGATTTGCTGTATATTGCTATATGACATACTGCACTACATTACGTATATATGTATTACTTTTGACAAGTTATAACTCAAACACAACAAAAGAAAATGTTTTAATGTTAATTAATCTGCAGTAGGGATGAGTGATAATACCATTCAAACCGTGCTGCATATTACATACATTCTAGATCATATGCTTTTATCCAGCGTGATTTACAATGGTAGATGAATGTTAGGAGTCTATTCCAAGAACTCTTTTTGGTATAGCATTACCTTTTCAGCTGACAGAAGCCTTCGTCTCACCAGAAAAAAATTCTCTCCACAGTTTTGTTGACTAAAAAAAACAACAGACCTCTGATACTTTAAAAATAAACAACAACACTTCACAACACCATTTTTTCACTTAAAGTATAAATTGTTTCAAATATTTCCAAGGCAGACCTCTCTCTCTCTCTCTCTCTCTCTCTCTCTCTCTCTCTCTCTCACACAGACACACAGACACAGACACACACACACACAGGGCATTAGTCTGTGATGTATGGTAATAGGAGCAGATGAGCAGCCCTGCTTGTCTCACACATATCTCCTGTGTTTACTCTACCAGGGGAATGCACATTTGTGTGTAGCTCTACTGTCTGGCTGTGCAGAACGCAATACGTGTGTGTGTGTATATCGAGGAGGCTATCTGGGGGTCACAATGTGAGATAAGCAAAGTATAAAGATGTGAATGAAATATAGATGTAGCAGTAACTGCTGGATCAGGCCATGCACATATACACAGATAAGAGAGACAGATCACACTGTGGTACTGTGAACTTGTTTTATATACTATCTGTCTCCATTACTGCTTGACTAACAAACACAGACTTTAATTTAAAACCATAAGCAAGTATTTCTGTAGACAGTTAATCGTCTATTTTTTGATCGCTCAACTAGAACCAGACTGATAAGAACATTTTTTCGGCAAATACTAATAGTGATTTTAGGGGGTTAAAAATTCTGCTAACCAAAAATATTGATTTTACATTATATTTATATTTTGGATTTACATTTTATATTCAAACAATTTTAGTTAAAGAGTGTCTTACTGAATGATATGATTGTCAATCAGTTCTCAATTATCACACTTCTTAAACTTCCTAAACAACAGAAACTCTGTTGAGTGGAGTTACTTAAAATGCTTTGTGCATTTGTTTGATCACTTATTATTTTTCCAATTTTCATTAGCTTTCTTCAAAAAGTTTTTTGGCATTCCCATTCTACATGTTGGGTTTGCATGCATCTTATATGTTTTTGTAACACTTAGCATGATGGTTTTCTGTGTTCAGACTCACCAGTTTAGACTTTATTGCCATCACACAGTTAAAGAGAGAATGTTTTACTTGTGTTCATGAATTGGAATCCAGAAATGGCCCTAGAATCAGCTTGTTGCCAATGTTATCAAAAAAAAATACTGTGAATCACTGGTCAACTGATATATTGGTCAAGCCCTTTGTCTGACAAATCTAAGGATTATGTTTCTGTCTCAGTGAGGGAAAAACACATTAAACAAGGGCACAAGAAACCTGAATATGAGAATTTGCCTCTGAAAGATTAAACTTTTTTTATTTTTCAGTAGAAAATGCTGCTGAATCAAAAGTATAACTGAATGCAAAAAATTATATGGCTTAAAAAGTAAATAATTTTATTATTATTATTATTATTATAATCTTATATCACTTCTTTATCATTTAGTCAGTTTTTTCACATTTTGTTAAAATATTTTTTTTAATAAAAAATTTACATCTTTCCTTTTCTCAATTCTAGAACACACTTAATCATTATTAAACTATAATCTAGTTCCCTTTTTTCTCACTGGTAAATGCCTGGGCAACATTTGATAGATCATTGGCTAAAGGTTTCTGCATTGAACATTACCATGTTTATGGCTGGCATAATTGACTGGGATGTAGGGATTGACACACACGTACAATGCACTAATGGTGCCACATTTAAAAACATCCATCCAACTCTGGGTACAATGATTTTTATTCAATATTTCACAAAATATCTTCACTACATAATCTTCAGTAAACCTAATTAAACAGGATTAACTTTTTATATGCTTTTTTTTTTTTTATAATGAAACATGCAGTTGTTCAGTGTTTTTTTTAAGTACGGACAATATCCACGATACGCTCAGAAAACCATCACGATAACAAAAGTTGTCACAAATACAATAAAAACATATTGCCCACTTCTATTGGGACATACATGATTTTATGACTATATATTTGACATGAGTGTTAATGCACACAACTTCATTGCCCTAAATGCATCCAAAAAGATTTAACACCGTTCTGTGCACTGTTTTTATCCTCCCCTGGACAACTGGACAGTGTTAGTGTGGAGCCTTATCATTTCACTTCTGAACTACTACCCTAGTATGGCATTCATTTTACTACACTGTATTTAACTTCACTGAAATGTTCCTCTCTTCCATAAGATGCTCTAGTTCCAACATTTACCTTAATGTTACCTTTACTGTGCCGACTGAGCTGTTTCGTTTTGTTTGTGCATCACATGCGCTGTGACTTTGTGTGTCTTATCTTCTTGAGTTTATTCGTTTTGTGGCTTCGTTGTTTGAAGTTCTGTCTGTGCCACAAATGATTTCCTCTTATGATGCAACAAATTGACGTACTGTCCCTGTATCTACTTTTTTGTTACTGAAAAAAAACATCACACAAAAAGACTATGCCAATGCACTCAGAGAACCAAATTCTATTAAAAATGTCAGCCCAAGCACATGCAATGTGGGAGTGTGTATGTGCATAGGTGTGAGTACTCACTCTTGTTGCCCACCAGAGCTATAACTGGTTGTACTTCAGACTCCTCGTTTGCTTTCTTCACCATGCTGTACCAGTCCTCTAGATTCTCAAAACTCTGAGAGTTAGTGATGTCATACACCAAGAGAACACCCTGCACACACGAACACAGGCACATTACAAATTACATAAAGTATATTACATTAATAATTCTCCCTATTCAAAACACATAGGATGATATATTAGATCTATATATCACTCATTGTCAAGCATATACCCCACTCATATATTAGTGCCATTTTCAATAACATGCAGTGTATGGGCTTCATTGCTTACATAGACTGCCAAAAATATACCTCACCAAGAAAACAGGAACATTATTCATTCATTCCAAATATTAATATAGTTAATAATAGCTGTACAATTTCATAAAGCTGTTTCACTTTAAGGGCAATAGAGCCTTGGCAGTGCTGTAATCCACTCTGTCCAGCACACATGGCAGTGTGCTCTTGTGTCAGTGTGAGTACGTATGTTTGAAAGTCCCATCATTTGTGTGCATGTGTGTGTGTGTGTGTGTATGTGTGTGTGTGTGTGTGTGTGTGTGTGCCAGTATGACAGTGAGTAAGTATGTGAGATTGAGCAGTAGGTGGCACTAGTGTATGTGGTGCTGTTAGTCTCCATGCAGACCTTGTTGCCCAACTGACCCCTTCTCTGGGCAAGCACACTGGGGCTATTCCCCCATGTATAAAGCTTGGGACCAGTTACACACAAACTGACATCACGAACAGTGTGAGTGAGTCCTGGAAGGACTGTGAGTGCATGTGTTTTACTACAGCTCTCCTGGGACTAAACCATGCCCTGTTATTACTCTAATAGATTAGACATCCTTAGAGGTTGCACTGGCAATTACAAATGCATGCTGAAACTTTACTTAGGTAAGCCTATTTAAACAGGTAGAGAAATCCTGTCAAAAGTGTGTTTTTCTCAATCAATTTTCAATCAAAAACAAATATATGTGTTCATTAGTAGAAGAGGAATTATTTTATTGCCAAATGAATTTGGTGAAACATTACTGTGCAGTCATTTTTGAAAGAAAAAATTCCACATTATATTTATGTTAATGTTCGATCACATTTGGAAATGCAGAACCAAATGCATGATCAAAACAAATAAAACATTTGGAAATGCAGACACAGACCTGTCAATACAGAATATAAATCGATTGTAAATACATTTGTAATTTATTAATATTTGTAGCTATTAATGTTATTGTAATTTACTATGGAACTATGCAATAAATTAAATAATTACATAATTACATTTAAATAGTTTAGCAAATTTACAATAATAACACTACACGTCAACATTTAAGCTGAACTCAAATAGTCAAACCCACACACATATATCATGATACTTTTCATGAGGAATTTTCACAATACACAGCAGTAAGTACTGATGATATCCACAATACGCTCAGAGAAGAATACTGTTTACCACAACAATGTAACATGATAATGATTTAATACCACCTACACACAAAACTATATTATTACTCATCTGAGGTTGTGTCTGTGTGGTGTGTGCATCTGTGGTGTGTGTGTGTGTGTGTGTGTGTGTGTATACCTGAGCCCCATAGATATATTTATCCAGCATCTTTCCTCCAATAGTTTGCCCTCCGATGTCCCACACTTGCAGAGTGACGTTCAGATTTCCTGTAACAGCAGATGATAGTATGCACATGATCTCCAGTGTTATGTAAAAAATCCTAATCAAACAATGAAAGTGCTAGAATAAAGAGACATTTGACTAGATTTAACAATAAGCAAATCTAAACACATGGTTGCAATGCACCCTTCTCTTCCTTTAATTTTTACTTTCTTAAAGCAAAAAAGACAAAACACATCCAGTTTTAGTTATCTGTTTAGAAGCTCTATGCCATTTCTTGGCCCCCAGAGTACTACAAGGTAATATCAATGCTAGAATGTAATAAAAGCTATTAATTTAGACATGTAATATAATAAATGTCAAATGTAATATCAATGCTTTAATACAATACAAATGTGCTTGTCCAAATGAGTGTGTTCAAATGTGGACATAATTGTGGATGTACATTGGTAGTTTTGCATATTTGTATATTGGTGTAGCACATAGGTTTGCTTTCTAAACAAGCATGTGAATAATAATACAGACTGTTGGATGGTTATGTATATTATGTGCAGTTAGCACTTCATATACTTATTTATTGTATAGACTTTTTTAAACAATAGTTTTCTTTTCTGGATAGTATGTAGATAACATGTAGATTGTGCAAGTGGTCAACTGTCATGTGTTCTGTACTGTGGGCAGCTGGAAGAACCTCAACTATACAAAATGTTTCAGCTCTAATTTCTGCAGCCACAGAGATCAAGCCAGCAACATAATCATGCACAAACTGACCATTAGCTAGGGCTGGGCGATAAAACGATAACGATAATTATCGCGATATAACTTTTCCTCGATAGAGCGATATGACATGTTCGATAAATGTTCGATATAATACACCATTCTCACACTTCCACGTTCTAGGGAAAACCTTGGTGGCGTTTTCTACTGCAAGGAAAGCGACACTACTCTGCTGTCGCCAGGAGAGGGCGCACTTCCGAATTTTTCGACATGATTAGAGAGGGAGGGGGGTCACGAGTAAGATGAGTCTTTAGCAACAGCTGAAACGCGAGGTTATACATTCCCTGTTTGAGTGGAGCGAGCGGCGATCTGTTCTCCTGTGACCGAGTCTGAGTGACGAGGTCAGTGGTGTAACTATACTGTCCTACAGCAAACTCACCTCTTTCCTAACATCCTAACCAGCTTTAGCAGCGTTAAATCACAATCACAATCCTCACAACTAAAGCGCTGTTACAGTGCTCGGACAGTTATATTTAAGTTTAGTGCATTCTCAAGCAACAAAAGTGAAAGAAAGAAGTGGGTTCATGCAGTTACAGCCCTGATGTAAACAAAAGTAAACTGAGGAAGCTGTGAGGCATTGGAAAGCGGGAGAGCGCTAAGCTATCTTTCCAGGCTAGCTGTTTTTAGCAGCTGGCTAACTTAAAGCAGCGCTTCGTCACTCGCACGACATGGCGAAGTAATGATACTGTAGATCAAACAAGACACAAAAGCACCGCTTTCAGTTTACACGTACCTAAAAGGAGGACTCTGTTTGTCTAGTGTTGATATTTTGCGGTTCACCCCTTAAACTACTACAACTGAATATCCAGTCGTCGCTAGCTGGTGTCTGAATACTGTAATGTCATTTGTAACGGGGTAGCCGAGCGCTCGTCACCAGCTAAAAATAATCTGTTTTCTTTCTTAAATTATGACTATTACAAAATAGCCATGCTTTTCCAGCTGGTAAAAACAGCTCACCGGACACTTTCTTCCACTCTCCCATGACAGATTTGTGAAATGTTCCACTGTTTGGCGAGTGTTTCTTGTGTTCCGACCATAAAGGATAGTTTAAAACAGCAAATAACCACCCAGGAGCAAAAATCAGCCTTCAAACTTGAAAGAAATAATGATTTGACATTTATCGCGATATGTATCGATATCGAACGATATACATTTTTGGCCATATCGCCCAGCTCTACCATTAGCCCTCTAACTCACTCTGCTGCAACAATTTACACAAATTCACATCACAAAACTAGCTACAATTTTACAATAAAATCAACCAGAGTTCCAGAATCAAAACAAGGAGTACCAGAAATTAACCAATAAGAGTTTTAAAATAAGATCAGCTTGAGTTCCACAGTCAAGTGGAGTTCTAGACTTTCCCAATGAAAACAAACTAGAATTCAGTACAACATTCTAAGCCGTCCAAATTTAAAAAAGAGTGTATTTACATTCAATACCACAGTTAAAAATGTTTAACATAGTTACTTTAAACTGTCATCCCCACTAAACTTAATTAATCACTGGTTCCATCTCCTTATACAGTGAATTGGAATATCTCTGAGATCACCTACACAACTGTACCCAACAAGAAATCAGTCAAAAAATATGAGAAATTAACCACAATTTTAAAAAGCCATTTTCAGCATGATTATCACCTTCTGACAACAGCTGAATTACTGACGATTATGAGTATTGGGATTTATTTAATTGATCAGAAGTCAACATTGCCTATTGCCCAATTACTCTGGGCACAACATTTCACATTTCGGGCACTAAAAATGCAGAGCCTGTGGCTCAAGTGGCTACTTGCACTGGATTGTCTGAGGATTTTTTCCTTTTAACAAACCACCTGACTAGTTGAACTTCAACACATTCACAAATATCCATCATTAACAAAAACTACTTTTCACCCTCCCACATGAGATCCAGAGCCTGTTTGATTAGACATGGAGCTAACTGCGTCAATTTAGACTTAGTGAGCATTCTCCCACTGTTACAGCCATAATTATTCCTTAGCAATGAAGTAAAACTGAAATTCTACTGCAGTCACATGAAGAGACTAAGAAACAGCCCTAAAACAACAGAATATTAAAAAATTATATACTTTTAACTAATCTCAACTAACAGAATTTTGTGGCAAGACACATGTATGAGTGGAACTTCTGATTCCTGTCACACTGTTTGTCTTTAAAATCATTGTGACATTAATATCAAAACAAATTTTCAGTTTACTTTCATAAACAAACACTTATAATGTACTGACAGATTCAACAGTTGCCTCTAGTTGAGTTGCATCCCAGTCTTGCCTAAAGCCTAGCTCCCTCATTAGCCTCTCTCTCTCCCTCTCTCTGCCTCTGTTTGCATTTTGCTGGTCTCTGCCAAATCCACTAGCGCAGGAAAATATATGTGGTGTTAAGATAAACAACGATAATTAAAATACAAAATATGAAGGGGGAAACATCGGTAAAATCCAAATTTGTAGAGTGTCGGAGAAGGGGAGACGTGTGTATGTTACATAAAGCACTATACATATATAGGCACAAATCACAGAAAAGGTCTGTACCTACTTTCTCTCTGTCCCTCTCTTTGCTGGAAGCATACAGTGTTACAGTCATTACATCCAGACTACACATCACCATGTAAAGCCATACTGAACCAACCATGAAGCACCTCATGTGTGTTTCCACCCCACTCTCTTCACTCAGTTATATAAAATATACATATTCTTTATTTATTCTATAATTCAGTCTTTACGGTAAGTGAATCCCTTCGGCTTGCAGCCAGGGCAGATTCTGCTGATGTGGTATAAAAACTAGAGCCTGTGTTTCCCAAACCCCTGAAAACCGCTCCAAACAGCACACACACATATACACACGTACACACACGGCTGAGTTATGGTGCATGGGAGCGTGAAAACAAAAACAAGAAGCCTTGCTAATCTCTCCTCCCTGCATGGGAACAGGGCTGAAAATAAACGCAGCAAGGAAAAAGTGTGAGCACTATGTTAAATATGTCAAAAACATTTTTCTGTGCTGCTGTTATGAAAAATAGACAGTCTCTCCTATGTCTCCTGAAAGACTGTCTGGATCAATTTATGAATTCAGGCATTCAGAAAGCTGCAATAAATATAGTACGCTACTAAAACTCAACAAACATTGAGAAAAATAAATACTTCATAATAGCAGTAGCTGCGGAAAGTTGTTTACAAGCCAAGACAACAACAAGTAAAAATGTATTACTTATTAGTGTACTTTGATCCACCCCATATAATACATATTTACTGTAAATCTGAGGTCATACTAAAATTATTATTATTTTTTAATTTAGGGTAAAGGGAACCTTCATACCATCTACAAACATTTTGGAGCATCTGGTGTATGTGTTGAATTGAATCTATCATGATTAACTGCAATGAATAATACATTTTCTTCAGTAAACAACTGCACACAGATATCTATGACAGGACGTCTGGGATAATTTTTCTGCAACTAGATTAAAAATCTATTCATGTTGCTAATGAGTTTACTCGGGGTTTACAAGCCAAGACAACATAAGTAAGTAAAATTATTTCTTATTAGTGTACTTTGATCCACCACATATAATACATATTTACTGTAAATCTGAGGTCATACTAAAATTATTATTATTTTTTAATTTAAGGTAAAGTAAACCTTTATACCATCTACAAACATTCTAGAGCATTTGGTGTATGTGTTAAATTGAATTAATCATGATTAACTGCAATGAACAATATATTTTCTTCAGTAAACAACTGCACACAGACATCTATAACAGGACATCTGGGATGATTTTTCTGCAACTAGATAAAAAATGTATTCATGTTGCTAATGAGTTTACTGGGAGTTTGATGTGACACACTACTTTAGCGTCAACTCATCTTTGACAGAAACTGGCTTTAGTAGAGAAATTAATACAGGAGAAAGTGTGTGTGAGTCATTATATATATATATATATATATATATATATATATATATATATATATACATACACATATGTTCTGTGCAAAAGTCAGAGACCATGTCTCATTTAATTTCCAGTTAAAATAGCCAAGTTATTCATTTTCAAGAGAAATGGAGTTTCCAAAGGTTAAAAAAAAAGACAGAGAAAAGGGGACTCTTAACAACCTTGCACGATCTAGAAAACCACAAAAAGATAAAGAGAAACACCACAAGTATTTCAGTCCACCCTTTCACTCTGAGAAGACAACTTAGTGCTATGGGTCTGAAAGGATGTGTCGCTATCAAGAAGCTGTTACAGAGTAAAACAAATAGGTAACATTTGCAAATCTAACCAAGAAACTGCAGGTGTTTTCAGCACAACTGACTGACCACCCCAAAGTCCAGGCCTCAGCATCACTGAATGTGTTTGGGATAACTTGAATTGTGAGACCATCTAAAACTGAACTTTAGGAATGTTGAAAAATATTCCTACAGATTTCTTTTTAAAACAAAGCTTCCAGAAAAGAATTGAAGCTGTAATAAAGGCTAAGAGTAGACACACTAAATACTGAAAACTGTGATGATATATTTAGTTGTAAGGCTTCTGTGTAATTTTCTGTTTAATATGTTTTCTACTTTTTTCTGACACTTCTGCATAGTGGCCATTTTTACTTGTAATCAAAAAATGAAGGGTGATCTCTTATTTTTATACAGTACCGCATTTAACCACAATACTTCATAAACTTTGAAAACTGCAGAAGAAAGCTGACATGAGCATCATGAACTTTCACAATATTATTTGCACACTGCAGAGCTGTCAAGTAACCCAAACAACTCCACAATATTCCAAAGAATTCACTTCAATTATCTTTACATCACCAGGAGCCTATACAAACATATCTCAGTGAAAGTCACATAACAGGGGAAGTGTCTAAACTTTGCATTAGAGAACAATATCCGTTACTTTGGTGAAGAGCACTCAATGTGAATAAAACTGAGAAGACTCAGACACATTTGACCACACGGACACACACACACAAACACACAGAGTGCTGAACACCTCTGACAAATGTACTGTGGTGCAGCCACAGGGCTACAGAAAGAGCATTCACACAAGACCAAACAAAACACTGAAACTCTTCATTCCCTTAAACTTTCAATGATGATGGCCAGCACCCAGATATTAAACCACATTCAATCATGAAAAAGAACTATGCTCAAAATGCTGAGTAGGCACAGCACACATAGAGGAAATCAAAATGGGAGCTGTTTTGGATTTTGCTTCAGCCAGACAGGTAGGTGTAATGAGTAGTGCACCCCATGCAGTGCACTTTTGTGGAACATAAGGCTGTTTTTTGGATTAAGCCTCAGGATGTCAGACATAATTCTAGCATGTCAGACAAAATTCTTAAAGGGTATGCTTGCGTCCACCCAGTAGTGGCCTGATGTTCAGCCTCGAAGTGCACTTGAATTGTCCAACAGTTAGGCTGACCCTGAGCAGGTCAGGCAGGACTCTTAATGAGTCTGAGCTCGTTCAGCTTCACTTTCAATTCTCTAAGTACTCCTGTGCTGACACTGAAACCTATGTGTGTGTGTGTGTGTGTGTGTGTGTGTGGCTTGGGTCTCACCTGGCAGGGTGATTCTCTTGAGGAAGAAATCCAGCCCTATCGTCTGTTTGTACTGTTTCCCAAAAGCCTCCTGTGCAAAACGGGTGGCGAGTGACGTCTAAGAGAGAAAAAGGAGAGAGCAGGGAGGAATGAGAGAGAAATGAGAGAGAAATCCACTAAATCAAAATAAAAGCAAAACAACATTTGTTTATATTCACCATTAGGCCAGACTACTTACTATTTAACTACTTATTAGACACACAAGTGTAGCAACACAGCCTTCATTTATTTTTAAATTCTTAAAATTGTCATTAGATTCATATTGTAAAGACAATCATTAAAAACACTCAAAATTCATACTGAAAATATTTTATTTGTACGCAGCCCTAAACACAAATGGACTACAAATAAACACACACACACACACTCACACACACACACACACACACACACACACACACACATCTTCTAAGCCGCTCATACTTCTGGGTCGCGGGGGGAGCTGAAGCCTATCCCAGCAGTCATTGGGTGGAAGGCAGGATACACCCTGGATAGGTCAACAAATAAACAAAAATCCTAAAATTTCAACCACAGAAAATTTATGGTTGTAAATGGTCAAAAATGGCACTTTAGGGAGTGGAAAAAAACGAATGAAGCATTTGACCAAAAAAGAGAAAAGAGCATAAAGATTAGGTGCACGATAGGCATACAACAAAGTATCAAAATCAGAGTTGTTTGTTGCTTCGCTTCCTGCACTGGTCATCCCAGACGCACTCAAACAGTAAAGCGGCAGCAGATAAACAATGAAAAATGTTGGCCTGATGGAACTATTTCATAGTTTCAATTAGGCACAACAGTCAAGCGATTGACTAGTAATAAGTATCTGCCATGTATGAAGTGGGGATACAACACCCACTGACTCCTCCATTTGAGAGCAATTGTAATCCATGTGAAATGTACAGCAAAACTACAAAATCTAAAAAATGATATCCCTGCTTGCCAAAACGTTGCCACAAATCTTTTGAAATAACAAAAAAAATTCACAATGCCAGAGTCAAAATGCAGAGCATAAGTGGAAAATAATGGAATACCCTGCCTTGAATGACCAACCATTCCCTTTTGTCTAGGGTTTCATGGCACATACTGTACCCTACATAATTTTTTACATAAAATGTATTTATTTATTTTCTTTATAAAATTTAATTTATTTACATAAAGTTTATTTTTGTTTTTTATTTATTGCCAGCTTTTTACAGTATTAGGTCCTGAATTTTGTTTTTGTCTTTGGCCAAGGATTTTCTTTTTGGTGCATTACCAAAACACATAAATGCGCACACACACCATACACACACACACACACACACACACACACACACACACATAATCTAAACCGCTTATCCTTCTGGGTCATGGTGGGGTGCTGGTGCCTTTCCCAGCTGTCATTGGGCAGAAGGCAGGATACACCCTGGACAGGTCGCCAGTCCATCGCGGGGCAAAACACATAAATAAATAAATATAAATAGGGTAGTCAACTATACAGACTATAAATATCGTCAAGGACGAACTCTTGCTCAGTCTTTTTATGAGGTAGAAGAGCTAGATGTTCCTAAGCGTGGCGCCTCATTTTGTGTACTGCTCACAAAAACACAGGAGGATGTCGTTAGCAAACAGATCCTCCTGTCATCCTAGCACTCTCCAATAAAAACATGTTTTAAAATAAACACTGCTGTTAATGTTACTGTTGGAGGACTTGGTAACTTTGAGCACTTTGGTTCTTCTGCCAGTGAGCTAAATAAAAAACCAAAGCAAGACCCTTTGAGCAAGATCTGTGCGTGTGTTTGTGTGTGTGTGTGTGTGCGTGTGTGTGCGTGTGTGTGTGTGTGTGTGTGTGTGTGCTTGTGCATGTGCGCGTGTGCAGTGGAATAGCAGTTTATGACACTGATTAGTGTGGGAGGATGGGGGGCACAAGTATGACATCACTCGTGACTGACAGCAGCTTAATGTAGAACATCACAGCCATTTAGGAGTACAGCTGTAAGGGAGTGTACACACTCCACACACCACATAACTTAACATGCCGCTCACCCCCCCAGCACACACACACACACACACACACACACACACACACACACATCCACTACAGATATAGAGTACAAAGTGTTAGCTGTGTGTGTTCTCAGTATGAGGGGAATAAGGGTGCGTGGGAAAGGCAGAGAATGCTGTGTATGTGCCAACTTCCATTCAGGCTGATGAATGAGAGGGAGAGAAGTGAAGGGCAGAACATCTAATAGCAAACTCAAAAACTCTGCTTAGAGAGACGCCTCTTCTTAACATTAAGGCACCTTTAGAGAAGATTAATACACCTACAAAATGCACTCCTCCACATCTACATGCAAAGACAGATTAACACAGACACACACACAGACACAGACACACACACAGACACACACACAGACACACACACAGACACACACACAGACTAGCAATGTCCAATCAGAATCAGCCAAGGTCAGCAATCGGAAATCAGCTCATATTTACTATTTTTATTTTGGAAGCTCTATGTTGCAATTTTAAATGACATGTGGCAGGTAAGTGCACTCATGTTGTATTTCAATCTGCTACACCTACCCCAAAATGTCATAGCATGATGATGGTAATAAACAGACATTTGCCGCTTACTAGCAAAGTTACGAATATTGAATTATTAAAATGCTATTAAAGAATAAATAATGTTATTTATATTGCAACATTGGCTAACAGAAAGCACCTTAAATGTGCTAGTGTCCTTCATGAGTTCTTTTAACTCATGGACAGTGTGAGCTTTGGGATTAAAAAAGCTAACCAAAACACCCAAAATAAGAATTGAAATCATATGCAGCCATAAAAATAATAAAACATTTTAAAATGTCCATCTCTGTGTGCCACCAAATATTTCTTTGTGCTACTCAATTTTTCTGAGTGCCACCAAAATTACTCAGAATGCACATCTAACGAACACCGCACTTTATACTATGACAGTTGTTGCATCGCTCATTCACATACATAGAGTCAAACCGATGGGAGTGGAGCTATTCTGAGGTTAATCCCTGACTGAAACCAGTGCTGGGTCCAAAATGGTTCTCTAATCACAATATGGGTATCTCCAACCTGATAAAGTACTTTGGGTGTACACTACTTCTTGCGATGCACTATGGGACTGTCTGAGCATACTGAACACTCATGTAGTGGACAGGGCACAGTTTCAGACACAGCTCAGGTCATCAAAACTGATTGTAGAAGAATCAGTTAGTTTCAGTATTCCATTCATAGAAACAATGGAATTTTACTTCAGCAAAATTTCTCTGGTATATTCCACAGCATTTTCCCTTTCCGCTTAGAGAAACATCTGACGGATTTCATGCAACATCCTTAATTAAATGCCTTTTGTAATGGAATACCCTGCCTTAAGGTTAATACTTAAAAGAAAAACTTAAGATTTTTTATGCAAATAAAATAATCTGCATAGTATGTGACAAAACATACGCAGTGCTGATGTAAGTGGACAGCAAGTCACACTTTGTTATTTGAGCACTGGACAAAAACACTGACGATTGCACATTTACACTGGCTCTCTTTACCTCCCCTCTCTCTCCCTTTCTTTTTTCCTTACAGATCTAATCCAGATGTGTGAAGTCCTGAAGGGCCTTGCTTGCTGCAGAGTTTAGTGTTTAACCTGCTTTAACACACTCAAGGCAACTCATAAAGTGCTAGGTAATTATGTAATTGAATCAGGTGTGTTAAATGAGGGAAAACAGTAAAACAGTGCAGTGTTCTCAGTACAGCACAACCGGACTCAGATGCCCTGGTCTGTGCAGTGCAGTGTGCATACCCTCCACAGCCGGGAAGCACTGATACCACTTTTTCTTTTCCAATACCGAAATCTGGCCCTAAAGTATCTACCGATTCCAAGCATCAATATCAATGGTAAGTCTGTCCAACCTAACTAAAAAATGCCAATAAATCCTGATGTTTATACCATTCCACTTTTTCATGATAAACGAATGCTTTCTGTGCCACAAAACAACAAACAAAACATACTATGTTTGGTAACTTCCCATTTACATGGTTTCAGAGCTATAAAAAGTCACTGTCCTCTTTGGCATGGTTTATTTTTAAAGCTTAATTAAATTTGATGTACTGAAATCCTTGCTGGTGGTGCAACCTCTTGAAACTCTGATGTTACAGAGCATAATAATCCCAGACTGCTGATATGTTGTGTGCTTCAGTTAAGCTCCATCTACCTTAAACCTCATCAAAAGTTAAATCACTAACTTTTTCCTAGAATAACTTAGTAAATACAGCCCTCAATTCTCTCTCTCTCTCTCTCTCTCTCTCTCTCTCTCTCTCACACACACACACACACACACACACACACACACACAGAATGCTCTGGTCCAGCTGTACAACAATCCAATGAAACGCAATTTCAAGTTGCCAAGGCTGTGAAAAACATTATAGGGGACAGTGTGGTGTAGTGCAGCTGTATCCTTGATAGATGACATTGGCTAGGACCAGAAACAATGAAAATATATTTCTCTGTTATAAATGCAACATTGGCAAATGTTACACTGTCAAAGTAATACACTGGGACATCATCTGTCGAAGAGAAAATAACTTGTAGAAGATGTGAAAATGTTACTAGCTCACCAGCAGTGGCTAAAACACATTGCACTGACTAAGGACAATAAAATATTTTAAAATGTACATCTCTGTGTGCCACCAAATATTTCTTTGTGCTACTCAATTTTTCTGAGTGCCCCCAAAATTACTCAGAATGCACATCTAACAAACACGGCTCTTTATACTATGACAGCCCTCAATTACACACTGATGTTTCTGTTACTCTCATGTACTTATTGTCATGAGTCTGATCTTCTGTGCTGCATTATTAAAGACTGTATCATAGCTACATCCTGAACACTGTTTACTAAAATGTTTCCTACTTTGGTTTACTCCTTTACTACTAAATTTAATCCTTACTATTGTTATTACCATATCTATTACTTCTTGAACCCCACAGGCAAATGTGAAAAGCCTTTAGTTGTGCTATATACATGTGTTACAAAAATTACACTATTAATTATACATTAAACAAAAGGAATAAAATTTAAAAATCTGCTAAAGCAGACACATAGCCTCAACCGTTTTCCTTGTGAAAGAGGGGAAAATACACCACACACACACACACAAGCTTGTTCTTGAATGGATCAAGCTCTCAGTCATGGGCCAACTCAAACTGATCGGACAGCAAATTACTCTGAACACTCACCAGAGTGTCGCTGACTGGCTCACCCTCTGTCCAGCTTTCTCTCCTTCCCTCTCTCAGTAGTAACAATGTTGTCAGTCACTTGGCCTGTCTCAAGCAGAATCCTTTTTAGAATTGCTCACTTTTATTCCCCTCTTAGATTATTTTCTTCACAACTTAAAAGGAGTAGAATTTAAAGCTGCTCAATCTCAACAAGCTTCACATCTTCCTAGAGACAGATTCAAACAAAGCCTGTTAATTCAAGAAAGTGGAGAAAACAGCGATAACCTCTACTTTCTGAACAATCAGACACTCTCAGTGACAAAACATGTACACTTAAATATGCAGAGATTCCACACCCAGACATAGACAGAAGTCCATTTCTGTCCACTGAATATATGCAGACATCAACATATCAACCAATATTTTAAAAAACTCACTGGTACAGGAGCAGTGGGCAAGAGATAGAGGAGAAGTGGAGTCCAGGACACTTAACTTACTCCTGCAGGCTCCGGCATACAAGCCAGGACACACACTGGCTTTATAAGGCCCTACACGAGTACCTGTGGATCTTTATGACTGTATATGATTATGTGCGTGCTTGGCTCCAGATGGAATTCAGCACCAACACTAGGGCCCTAGAGTTGTACTGAGAAAGACTGCACACAGACAATTATAATTATACACACACACTAATGTGGTAGGTTTTGCACATGGGGTTTTACAGTGTTTTGGGATGGCTGTTCATTTGTGGTGCTTTAAGACAGTCAGAGAATGAGTTGAGAGTTATCTGTGTACACAGAGCTAAACTCTACTGAAGCAGCATACACATTGGAAATGATAATTACACACACAGAACTCATTTTTTAAAATTTTCCTGCATTGCCTTGAAACACCACAAATATACAACCATCCCAAAAAACACTATAAAACTCTATGCACAAAGTCCACCACATCAGTCAGTCTTCATGTGTGTACTTGTGCATGTGCTGGTGTACACGTGCCAGCCTAGAGGTTTGGCATTACAACATGTTCAAACAGAGGAGTTATAGTACAGTAACACTATTCTTCAGTTTGCATCATTTTAACTGGGCAACTGAACAAAAGCATTACATTTAACAGCTGGTTTGCAAAACAGCATGTTACATCCTGTCTAGCCTCCACCTTTTCTGAGCAGCTTTTTGATTTTTTTTATTTGATCGAAGTGCTGTACAAACAAATGAAGAAAACACTCAGTTTCAAATAAGAACCACTCCACTTTACTCAGCTCCAAAGGCTCTAGAGCAGCATTACAACAGAAAGCATGTAAGACACAAAATGGTGAAGATTCTGATAACTTTAAAATTTGCATTGAGGATACAAGACTTTAAATTATGACAACAACAGGCTTTTATTCCAACTATATATCTACCAACCTCTCATAAGTAGTACCAACACACAAACAGTTTTTGCAGCCATGGAGAAGTTCCATCTCACATTTTAGAATAAGAAATAAAATATTGGACCGCAGAAGCCAGAGGAACTGCTGAATATTTAGATTATCTGGCCGGTAAACCACTACTGTAGCAGTGTGTACTGAGGATACCTTATGCGGTTGTGAAAAGGTGATTAATCACAAATACTATGATTGGTATATCCTTCTTGAAGATGAGAGGTAAATACTGTGATAGGAACCACCTGAACAGTAGATAGGATCAACAGCAAAAGTCTCACTGGGGCCAAAGTTTAATTTTATTGTAGCCCTGTTTACAATATTTTCAAAATACATCACAAAGTGCAGTACTGAACGTGCTACCAGAGTGAGAATCCGTGCAAGCAGTAGGCAGCTTGTTACACACACTGTGGATTAAGCTTCAGACAGCATTAATAGGTTTATACAGGAAGATAGCAGAGAAAAGACTCAAGCCAGATCTAAATGCAAACTTATCTTTGAGACCCATGTTAAAAATAGCTCAATTTCTGTAATGTATTCACCAATGATCGTGACTGATACTGACATATTTGAAAGGAGTCTGGTGAAGATCTAGTTACAAATATGTTTGTTGGTGCCTGTGGGTCACTAATAAACACAGTAAGATACAGGCCAGGTCTGCAAACATCCAGATAGGGAAAGATGTATGTTTTGCCTCACTGAGGTTGGTACATTAGGGAATAGCAAGTACTAGCAAAGACCAGACTAACAGATACAAATTATACGAAACACATTACCATTAGGCCTAATGAGCTTGAGGCACAGACTTAGACTAAGTTTGGCTTTTGCTGAGTAATTTTAAAAAGTACTTGAGCAAGATTAATAACTTTTATACAAGCAATCTATATGTCTTGGCTACAAATGAAAACATAAACCATTTGCAACATCTACACAATTCACCCAAAAGTTGCAGGAGTGCAAACCTTACAATACCTAACTGCAATGGACTAAGGGGCTAGTTGTAACAGTCGCTAAAAAGTCTGGTAAATCAATGCATTTATTTGTTGTTTGAGCTAGACTACCTCTCTGACCTAAATGCATTTAAAAATTTATGAGGAAAAGAGAAAAGACGCTTACATGGGGTATGTGGACTTCTCCTATTATTATTATTTTTTTTATCTTTGTGTAATGTGTGTTAACCCCACAGTGAGGAGGCCGTACTACAGCCAGACTAGCTCTCACTGTGACTTGTTTACATGCTCCAAAACACTGCTATATTACAACCACCAAGAGCATGATTAACATAATATAGATGTGAATTCCATGCCTCATACACACAACTAAGTAATTAAAAACAAGCATTTATTGTTAAAAATTTACTTCTGGTCTTTGGTGTGAATCTCGAGAAATATCTGTCCGATTGTTGTTTGAAGATGACGTTGGTACACACCAACAAGACATAACTAAAAGCATCTTCTACTTGAACCTGTTTATAAAATTTCCACATAACATTTTACCCCATGTTAGTACGTGCCCTGATCTCCCCTCCTGCTGTCTGATAAATGGTCAAAGCACTAACATCATTACAAAGCCAACATACTGACTGATCATCTGGACTGGATTGACAGAGCCCTAAAGAAGTCACTTAGCCCCTGTGAATCGAGAGCCAGAGTTTGATGCAAAATGGTTCACTGTAGAGTAACTTACAAACTCAAGTTTATTTACAGTGGTGGTGACAGGAACCAAGGGTCACAATCTACACAAATATAGCCATTTTATTTATTATCCAAAACAACTAGCAAACTTACACATGTAAAATAGTGGAAAAATCTGAAAAAAGTTTTTCAGGGGGACTATTTTGCCTTACAATGCCCTGCATGTACCACTCATGAACGGATTAAAATAAATGGATCAGCAAAAAGATTTAGGCCAAAACGTCATCACAACAATTATTGTAAAACATTTGTCTCACACATCAGGTAACATACTCATAACCATTTCAAGAAATAGTGTTTTTTGTTTTTTGTTTTTTTGTTTTTTTTTTTTGTGAGGGACCTTTTAGAGTCATTAAACTCTTCAGCAGCCTGGTTCCATTCACCACCACTGTGAACAATTCTGACTTTTAAGATAAATTGATCCTGAAGTTTATCACATCACACAGCATTTCACATCACACCAAACCACTCTGAATGACTTGTTTACATCTTAATAATTTAATTTTGAACAAATTTTGAAAAGTTGGTGGAGTTCCCGTTTAAGCGCTGCAGGATACTCATTTTATTAATTATTGCACAAGTCGTGCTGTATAACACCCACTTTTGTCATTATTTTCAACTTTTAATATTTTGACCCAACCTCAATGTCTCAAAACAGCAAAAACATATCTTATATACATGTCACTGAAACACTGCCTGCCCGTCCAATCCCTGCATCATCCCATCAGATAAACTCTAGGAGCTTGTTAGCTACTTAGCTACTGGACCTTCTAAAGCAACTGGTCGGCAGTGGTCTGTAACGCCAGTTTACGAGCTTTAATAGTGTTCTTAAACGTGCTCGTCGGCCAGCTACTTTGCATGTTTTAACAGATAACTGACAGATAACTGACCGAAGAGTATGGTGCAGCATTAGCATTAGCAGTTAGCATCCTCCTTCTCTCAGGCTGTAAATCCCCCTCACTCACCTTTCCCGAGGCTCCGTCTCCGATTAACACCATCTTCAGCTGCCTGTCCTGACTGTCTTCTTCAGAATCGGACATGCTGTTAATTTATACAGCGAGCACACACCTAACAAACAACAGGTAAACAAAACTAAGCACAATGTATTTCAATGATCAGGGGGAAATCTGTGGTAGCAGCACTAAGCAACCAGCCGCCATCTTCACCCAACAGATAGCTACTCAACACAGGCGCGAACCATTTCATTAGCTATCAGTTTGGTGACAAATCCTGGTGAAGTCAGTTTTGGAAACTTAAGGTCTAGTCATTTGTCCGAGAACAAACACTGTGCTTGAATGTGTGACCAAACACAGAGTGAGGGAGTCATGGTTTTAGTAGCTACATTAGAGCTCCCTGCATCTGCTACATGGACTCGTCCACCATGACGCTTCCTCGTTGCTAAGGGTAACCGAGCGCTGGCGCGTGTGTGCTTGCATGATGTGCGGCGTTAGCGTTTTCAACCAGCTTTAAAGGGGAGCTCCACCATTTTTTTCTAACATTCTGCGTAATTAAATGGTTGAGATGTAAACAAAGTTATTCACAGTGATGTGATGTAAAATGCTTCGATCTAGAAAAGCTGACCGAGTCAGAATTGTTCACAGTGGTGGTGACAAACGTGGTAACGTTTTGGCTTAAAATGTATTAGAATATTTTTTTTTTACCTTTTCCATAATATATATACTCTTTCAATGATATATATATATATATATATATATATATATATATATATATATATATATATATATTTGTATTGTAGACATGGACACCCTTGTTTCCTATCATCAAAACTGTAAAGAACTGTAAAGAACTGTAAAGAACTGAATCTGTGAGTTTTTCTAAAAATGTACCATTTCACGTCAAACCACTCTTGATTGACCTTGTTTATACCTCAAGGACTGAACTGTTCAGAAATTTTGAAAAATTGGTGGAATTCCCCTGTAACTTACCACTCACATTATGTGAGATTTGCTGAAACACCATTCTCTTTCAAATTCCTAAAAAAATAAGTTTTACTGTCAGTGTTAAAGGACAGTGCCAAAGTTTTCTCAAAATATCAGCATAATTTAGTTGTTAATATATAAACAAAATCATTCAGAGTTGTTTGGTGTGAAATGGTGCATTGCAGATAAAACATACCGTCCAGGATTTCTTTACAGTGTTGACAGGAACCAGGGGTTGTGATGTCTACAATTCAAAAAATAGCCATTTTATTGAATATCCAAAGCGACCATTGGACCTACATGTGTCGGAGGTTTTAATAGCCTATATAATGTTGAAAATGGTGAAACAGTTGTCTATATATAAAAAAAAGTTTTATTTTGCCTTACAACGAAAAAACCTCACAAAACTAGTTATAATAGAACAATGTTTCAGAACAATTCGGACACAGGTTTCTCTAGAATTACACGTTTCACATCAAACCACTCCGAAGATTTTGTTAATGTTTAACTTAGCAGACATAAATTGCAGATTTTTTTTTCACACTTTAACAAAGTGTAGAAAAAGCAACGTTACTGAAATTCCGTACTAACTCCAGTAACCTAGGTTAGTTAAGCTAACTACTCGAATAATTACTGTAGCTTAGGTGGTTAGTAAAAGAAAACAGTACAAGCACAAAATAGCTATTTAGCTAGCTAAGTTAGGTTAGTTGAGCCAGCAAGCTATGGTAATTTAGCTAATTAGTTAGCATTAGCTAACTAAATTGTGAGCAAATGAGTTAGCTAGCTAACGTTAGCCTACCTCTGGTTGCAAGTTGTTAGATACAGGGTGATTTTTCTACTTTAACAGCTATTAAAATGTTTACAAAGATGAATACCATATTAGAAAGACTGAAAGTAGAAATGTTGTTCATTACCACAAAAATACTGCTACAGGCAAAATGTACTCAAGTAGCCTACTGTAAGGAGAGCAGTAGCTAGTAATATTTACTGGAACTTAAACCGCTCATGATGAACCATGCTAGCTAGCCAGCTAGTTAACTAGCGTTAGCGAACGTTGACGTTTCGAAGGCAAGCAAGATAAGGAAAAACACAAACTGGACGAAGTTAACTATGATTCGGGTATAATCTGTAAACATGTCTCATGTTAACAAATGTGAAAAAACAACAACAAAACAAACAAAAAATTCATCAGCTTAACTTACCAGTTCATTTTAGCCGCAGGCCAAACGACCGTTGGATCGGGTTCTAGCTGAGCCGTTCAAATTTAAATTTGAAATGAGGCGCGCGTTATGCGCGCTGGCTGCAACTGAGAGCGTGCAAATTTGGTATGACAAGAGAGGCGACCATTGTTGGGAGTCTACAGCCTACACAGAGCAATTTAAACTAGGCTGCTTAGAATCGTGATTTCTGTATAGAACCATTTCATTTTTAAATAGAGGCTATGGCACCAAAAAGGATTCTTCTACTGTTACAAGCCTGACATCGTAACAACAGCAGAGCCCTTCTGTATAGAACCATATACAACACATTCTCCAACGATCTGAAGAACCATTTCACCCTGCAAAGAACCATTGAAGCATGAAATAGAACCATTTGTCTTTAGTAAAGAACCCTTCAAGAAGCATCTTTTTAAAGTATGTATAAAGAATGCTGTATATTTATTATCTTGCAATGATATCTAATGAGTATATCAACAATAAATGAAAAGAAAAAAATATTTAATGCACTTGAATAAAGTAATGTATTTTCAGTATCAAATATTCATTAAGAATTTCACAGACAATGGGGAAAAACCTCTATACTGAATGTGTAAAATGCATGACTTTTAGTGCATTTGTCAACAAATGATTACAGTTTACAAATGTGATTACAAATCACAATGGTACAGTACATATAATGTTATATAAGTACAGGTAGGGCAGGTTAGTGCTTATTTCCGGGTTCTCTAATTTTGCAAACACACTCCTACAAGTAATTAGCTAAAATAAATGCTGGGAAACTGATGGCAGCAATGCTTCTCATCCAACACCTGTCTCCCTGACACCCTACCCTGGCCCTGCACTTTTTAGTGGTTTCCCTGCTATGACAAACTTGGTCTAGTCAGATAACTAAGCCTTTCCTAAGTTAAAGTGCAGGGCAGAAGGCCTCCAGGACCTGTTTGGGACCTACAGCAACCATCCTCACATTCTCTGTGCAGTGGGACTTGATCTTCACAGCACAGACAAATGGCTATGTAGACACTCAAAAACACTCAAAAACTGGTTCCTATCACCACCACTGTGAACAACTCTGACTCTGTAGATTTCTCCAGAAAAGAGCATTTCACACCAAACCACTCTAAGTCTCAGCCATTTAAGTATGCAGAATTTTTGGAAAATCAGTGGAGTTCCCCTTTAACAAATGTAAGTAAATTAAACTGAGTCAGTTGTGTTGTTCCAGAAATACAGTGAGTTGTCAGATTTGTTTGGTCAATGTAACTGAGTAAATCTCAACATCTTTCTCATTGGCTCCTGACATCATTTATTTGCATATTGTTTCACTTTCCCTTTTTGTGTTATCTTTCCTCCCACCCTACACTTTGTGTTTATTTCCTTTATACTTTACCCTAAACCAACTAACCACAATGTTAATGGCTGTTTAAACGAGTTATCATGCCGTACTGTCGAGCATGACCATATGACAGCTCAGTAATAGAGTAAAAAAACTACTTAAACTTATTGACTTCTTTTTCGTTTCTACAAGTATTTAGTTTAACATTACCTTAAGTTGAATCCCAGAGTAGTAAATTGAGTATCTTATCTATTTAATACAGTTGAGTGGAACCATTTGGCATAACATTTTTAAGGAAATCCAACACTTTGTCTTTTTTTAGTGTGTTTCAAGCCAGGAGTATGTAAGAATATAGCATTGCTGGCTACAACTAAACAAAACAACAGCTTTTTTAGCTTTAATTTCCCCTTTAAAATGAAAGCAAATTCATATTTACATCTATAAGCTGAACGGTAAACTCATGAGCAGGACAATGTTCACATATAAGTTAACAGAATGGTCTGCTTCAGGTGGTAGAGCTTTTGTAAGTTCAGAATGTGGCTATAAGGAATGAGGAGCAAAAATCTATACCCAGCATTAGCGTTTGTGATCCACAACTAATCATCCAATATCATACCTGACCTCTCTAATGCTCTTGTGGCTGAGTGCCATCAAATCCTCACAGCAATGTTCCAAGGGCTTTTAGTGTAAAGCCTTTCCTATTACTGCAGCAAAGAGGGACAAACTGCATATTAAAGGGGAATTCCACCAATTTTTCAAAATTCCTGTGTATAAAATGTGAACAAAGTTATTCAGAGTGGTTTGGTCTGAAATGTTCCAGTCTAGGGAAACTTACTGACTCAGAGTTGTTCACAGTGGTGGTGATAGGGACCAGACATCTGCAGAGTTAATGCCTTTTAATGCTCTCTCACAGAAAGCTACTTGAAATGGCTACATCTGAGACATTGTTTTATGGAAGTTTTGCTTTTTATTTTGGCCTAAAGTGTATTTTTAAAATCCATTCATGGAGGTGTACTTCCAGAGCATTAGAAGGCAAATAGCCCTCAAAGAAAAATTATTTTTTCAGATTTAAAATTTTACCATCAACATGAAATATAAAAACTCGAAAGACAGATGTAGGTTCACTGGTGGTTTTGGATACTGAATAAAATGGCTTTATGTGTGTTGTAGACATTGTGACCCCTGGGTTTTATCACCACCACTGCAAAGTATTCTGAAATTTCTCTACAATGAACCGCTTCACATCAAACCACCTTGAATAATTTTGTTTACATGTCAAAAATTTATCTTTGCAGAATTTTGAAAAAAAAAAATGGTGGAATTGCCCTTTTTAATATCCTTAATTTCTAAAATACACAGATAAAACAACATTGGATGAGCAGGTGCCTTTTCAGAAAATAGGTACTAAACTGTTGCTGGGGTTGTCCTCTAAGGGGGCTTCAGGATCTTTAGTCAGAGAGCCATGTCTTGATTTTAGTCTTTTTAATTTTCTTTTCACTTTTAAAACATTAGGTTACGAAAATATACAAATAGGTACAATGCCCCAGGAGGTGAAAAAAGTATTTAAGGTACACAGTTCACACGCATTTGAGAGTACATTGGTTTATACTTTGCTGAAAATGTACCTGTCCAGTACCTTTTGTTCTGACAGTGTGTCTAAACTTTTGGACACCTAAAGTGAACAGAC